TTACAAAGTATGTATATAAAAAGTATCAAAACAAATATGTTTATAATATATTTAAATATTTTTTCGGTGAAAATTACTTTCTGTTAACGGAGAAAATAGCCATAAAACACAGTGATACATTTGCCTTAAACGCTGACCTATCCTAACCCCAGTGCAAAATGCATTCCCACAGCTGAGATCACGAAGAGCTTATCGAGATACCCCCAAATGCAACCCCATCTCCAGCTGGGGAATGTGTTGGCCCGATGTTTTGCAGGCTTCACCTGCGATGTTGGCTAATTAATAATCCCGCCACGTCCGGCTCGAACACAAACAGAATCGGGGAAATCTTGGCCAGGCGAGGCTACTTTGTCTTTGTCGCCTAAATGGCAGGCAAAATGTTTGCCGAACATAAATTAATGTCGTCCCCAACTGGCGCTTAAGTTCGTGTTCGTTTTAGCCGCAATCCGTGTACTCCACTCTATAAAATGCAGTTAAAGTCAAGACCCCCACATTCCCCCCCGGATTTCATGCGAAAAAGTACACTTGCTGCGCCAATTTACACTCTTCATTCAGCAGCCAAATCGGCCGATTGGACCAGCAGTGTGGACATGGCCTAAACAATTTTCATGTCTGCTTAAATTATCGACTACTTAGTGCCCGGTTTAGCAATGCCTAATAAATATTTATGAGCGCACTTCATTTTAGTCAATTTTCAATGGACAAGCAAAACGCAGTTCTATGAATGGATCGTTGTTCATGACTGAAATCAACGATTTCGCCGATCATTAAAGGAGGCTGACAACTGAAAAGGTTTCAAAAGGGAAGACTTGGAGAGCTGAGGCCCAATTAAGACATTATGTTTCTTTTATTCGATCAATGAAAAGTTAATTCATTAAATAGTAATGCAGGATTGGTTATTTTATGATCAGATATTATTAAAACAATGATAATTAAATATGATCTTTTTTGGTAGCACTACCCTTTAGCCTTAGCTTTATTTACATTACTATAATCTTTAACTACTAAATAAATAAATATGTGCTTTAAAAGATATAATGTGATTTTAGTTCTGTACTCAGAGAAAACTATCTAAGAACATTGTGCCTGAGTTGAGAGCATTGTTTTTGAATTGAAAACATTGTTCTTGAATTGAGAACATTCGTTCTTAAAAACCGTGTAAGTACATTTTGTTATCAATATAAAAACGAAATGGTGAGAAGAGAAAAGTTAAATTGAGTTTATTTAACAACTTTTTGATAAGTATACACTAAGGACTGAACTAGTAGTTTATTTGTACTTACAATGTACTTAAAAACCGCCAATTCAACTTGATTCGGGCAAAAATAAAAACATTTTCAACTTAAAAATGTCGTTCTATTTTTAAGAACATTTTCAACTCAGATGAGAACGTCAGAATTTCCTCTCAGTATAACTAGAATAAGTCAAGTTTAATTTAAATCTTTGTTTTAAAACCTTAATCTGTTTATAAAGTTAAATATATTCACTTTTTGAAGAGTCATATCGAATAACGTTTTTTAAAATTATAATCATATCTACCTATAAATAGGGGTTTTCTCTAGTTATTTCAATAACTTTTATCTCTGAACCATATTGAAATTGATTTGACAAAAAGATAAGACCTTTTTTATTTTTAAAACGAATACAGTTGCCAAGTGATCCAATACCAATACAATAAGTCATCCTCAACACTTCTAAGTAAATGCATTTAACTTTAATTGGATTACACGAACTTTGATTGATTTATGCGCAATTAGAGGAACTCCCCACCCCCCTCAGCACCCATTTAATAATGCTCTCCCATTGGTCAGACTCTATAAAAAATAACTAACTCAACATCTCGGAATCAGCGAGTTGCTCGCACTCATTAGCAACTTTTATTAACCAAAAGTGTCAAATGTTTTATCTCGGGTTTGGATTGGCCCAAACCGAGTTGCCTTTAAAGCGTCGTTAGGCATTTCATTTCATTTTTTTTTGTTTTTTGCCCATTTTATTGGTTGTCCGACTCGTTTTTGTGGGCCGCGCTTTTAGCATTGTGAGCATGTTAACATTTGTGTTATTGATTTTTTACAACATTTGACAGTTACGCAGACTCAGATTGGAATTTCGTTAATTTTTCGTATTTCTCCTTTTGCCTCGAATTCGGAGCGCATGACAAACGATTTGGAGCAATTTGACTTTCGATCGGTGATTGGTTAATCAAATCAGAGTTCATTAAATTGCCATTTTACATTTAATTGCATATTCGATCGCCGAGCTGACAGCTCAAAGTAATATTATATCTTAAACGACACATAAAATGCTGGAAAATACTACCATTTATTTAAGCCGCAAGTTTGCGGTTTTACGGTTTTTGCTTTATTATTATTTATTGGTTTTTTTTTTTTTTTTAATTATTTATTTTGTGGCTTACTCAGCTTGAAGGAGAATGAAAATGGCAAATTAGTAGACATAAAAACGCCTCCGTCTGACATCGTTGGCAATTGGAAATTTACACCACCCTCAGACGTTACAGGTGGCAAACATTGTTCAGATCATTAAGTGTTGAATTTGCACTTTCTCAGTCACCAATTTGCGTCATTCAAATCGAACGTGAACAGCGTTAAAACACGGGGTTCCATGGGGTTAAAGGGAGGGACCAGGTGTTACAGGTGCATTACGCCAGTTAATTGCATTATTTTAACGGTCATTGTGGTATAGGGTATTATATGATATTGTTCCACATTACAAAACACTTGTGCTGACATGGTTCGTAAATGTATTTTCCATTTTGGATGGGTTTTCAAGCATATAATTAAAAAAGAGGGGCATATAATAGGTTTTATATTATATTATGTTCATTTTATCTGTTATGATGTTTGTTAAAACATTTTTATAACAAAATTTTAAATACAAAAATTTTAAGATGGGTTTTTGTTTTAAAAAATATTGTTTATACAATTTCTTATATAAATTAATGAACATTTTTTAATGACATAGAAATATTTGCAATATTATAATCCTGGTGTAATGAACCATTTCTTTTTGAGCTACCGCTAGACCACAAATCTCTATAATAACCCCAGGTAATTACTTTTTTTTGGTGAACTGGGAAAATTGTTTGATAAAAATTAAACAGCAAAATGAATTTTAAATACATAAATTTATAGATTTGTTTATGTTTTTTAAAATGTTTTTTATACAATTTCTTATATAAATTTATTTATTAATTTTTTTTTAATGACATACAAATGTTTGTCATATTATAATACTGGTGTAATGAACCATTATTTTTGAACTAACGCCAGACCACAAATCTTTATAATAACCCAAAGTAATTACTTTTTTTGGTGGACTGTGAAAATTGGTTGATAAAAATAAACAGCAAAACGAATTGCAACTTTTAAAGGTTAAAAATAATTAAGAAATGGCAAGAAGGCATCATTAAATGATTCGATACACAGTTTACAAAACATATATGTGTTATAAACAATACACAGTTTACAAAACATATGTATTATAAACGATACACGAAAGAAATCTGATATTTCCCATCCAGACTTTGAAATACATCACCCCCATATGACGGCAACTGTGACATTATTTTCGCATAAAATCGTAAATAATTTCCACCGAATAGACCAAGCAAATCAAAGTGTCCAACGCCTTTGTCAATAAACATTTGTCGTTCCGCTAATTGCCAACGTTTTTCAACGCTCGACAAACAAACAAACAAACACACTTAAAAAACCAAGAGAAAAAAGCGAAAAAAAACCGAAATCATTTATGGTAAAGTCAATTGCGCTATTGCCATCTCTTTCTTCGATGTGGGTGGAAGCATTACGTTGATTATCCAGTAAAATCAACAACAAAAGCAACAGCATACATACAAATTAACCGAACACGCTCACAAAACAAGAAAATTTAATTAAATTACAATTGCTGTTGGCCTTTTTCTCCTTCAGCAGTTGCTTCTTAATTCCAGTTAAAAAAGGGCGTTCAACTCTAGGGTTTTTATTTTAAAATTATTGATATTTATCCATTAATATGAACACGAAATTTTCATTATCTTTTGGAACTTTATCTTTTTTCTTTTATTTTTTTAAAGGCGTATAAAATTTGATTTTGTTTTTGAATTAAGTTTTAATATTTTCGAATATCGTAAATAGGTTTCAATATAGTTTTTATTATTATATGTCACATTATTATAATATTATTAATTCATTGCATTATATAAATATTTTTTATTTTTATTTTTATATAGGGCAATTAAAAAATAGGTATTTTCAATCCGTTATAATTCAAAATTTTAAAAAATTTTAAAAAATACATTTTTTTTAAACACTGATTTTATTTATTTGAAAAACACTAGTAACCACTATTTTATCAACAGGTATTTAGTAATACCGCTCCTTTTATCGGCTTATCACATTATTTGGCAATGGTTCGCATTGATACGGATGTTTATCTTTGATTGTCGGATGCGCAATTTGAACTGATAATGATAATGGCTCGTTTGTTATTATCTTTGTTCAATTCCAGTTTACGATGAGCGAATAATAAGGGAGAACTGTTAAATTCCGTCTGAGCGGCATGGAAATTACTCAATTATTTATGCGGGGCGCGTTCTGGTTGGAAATTGAATCGAAATCAGGTTGCTGAGTATTCACGGTCAGCATTTGTCAGTTGAAGGTTTTCTTTTTTAATAATCACCGGAAACCACAAATAATTTTTATTGCTCTTTATTTTTGCTACCAACAAAAAACTAACCGTTTGTTTTTCACCGAATGCAGAAATTTGAGAAGCGTGGCCGAGAAACGCTGCCGCAAACGTTCCGAACTCGCCGAAGGCTAGACATGAATTGAAGTGAAGTTGAAAAAACTGAAACCTCAAATCAAAAACAAACTAAGCGCCTTATCGATAAAAAAAAGATGGAAGTGTTATCGAAACAATGTCATCGCTAAGTGTGACCTGATATTTACAATGACTTATTCTCTTTAAAGAGGTGTGGCATTACTGGTCATTGTTTTTCCGTGTTTTGGTGTGGCTACATTGATTTTTGGCTCGCAATTGTTTACATTTATTTTTTGCGTATATTTGCGAATTCCCGAGATTATTTGACATGGCCGACGATCCGGAGAACTCGGTGGACAGGCCCTCGGAGGAGGGAGATGCCAGCAAGCCGGAAAAGATGTTCACCCTGAAGAAATGGAGCGTTGTTGCAATGTGGAGTTGGGATGTGGAATGTGATATTTGTGCCATTTGCCGCGTTCAAGTTATGGGTGAGTAAATATTTATTATATTTTAAGCTTTTATCACTAATTATAATGCTGAATATGCCCCTACATATGTCGCAAGTTTAAGTTTGCACCAATCAGAAACTTAGTGCAATTCAAGCATTGCAAAATCCATAAAGACAAAGGGAAAGAGAAAGGAAAACCATAACAATCAGCGTTTTATACCCTTTCCAAAATGTATTCTTGAATTAAAAGTAAGTTTGCCACTGTCAAGTAAAAGATTTTTCTAAATTCAAGAATTTTAAGGCCTTTTGTTTAAGCATTCGTTGATAATTTAAGGTTCTTAAAGTTCGTTGAACTCTCTATCTATTTGACTGTCACATATAGCCAACACTGAGGATTTAATGCCAACAGCTTAAAAAACAATTATTTTATTTTTTATATTTTAACAAATTAACACTTGAATGTAATACTTAAATTTATATTGGTAAAACAAGGCTCATAAAAAAATGTATTTGTTGTAATGTTCAATTAGTACTAAAACACCCTTCTTTTACCGATCTTTTAAAATTGCCCTATATACTTCAGTAAAGTAATGACCATGTCTTTGAGAACTAATTCCATTAATCAAAAAGATTATTTTGTTTTTCATTTTGAAAAAGTTAAATAAACTTAGGAAATCAAATTTTAAATTTGACAAAAATACACAAACAGAGGTTCGTAATTAAATCGATTATAAATGTTATATGCATTTAGTCTTATTAATCATTTATTATACCAAACAAATCACTTTTAATTGATTTTTGTGAATGTGCTTGTATAATATATGTGTATAAACTATTATATTTTGCATATAATATGCATGTATAAATAATGAATATATAAATATAAATACTGTGAATAAAATGAGTTTTCGAAAACTAGTAACCCTTTAACTTAAAAAAATTCACAAAAATTTCATCTATTTCTAGTAGAGAAATGTTTTAAAAAACATCTTTAAAATGTAGATGAGCAGAAATATAAATTTTTTTAATTTAAAAAAATTTTGCGGATAGTAATTTGATTTATGAGATATACATAAATCAAATTTTTAAAAATTTAATACTCTACAAATTTGTAAGTCGTAAATCTTTTTTAAGAAACATTTATCTCCAAAGGTGTCTGACAATAAATACAACTAATTGCGCGACTGGACACCTTAACATTTTTACGATAGTATGGGGTTTAACTATTATACAAATTTTTTAGAGTCCGATTGCACTCAAATCATTTCGTCACAATGCATTTGCGTCATTTGATGTGACATATTATTGGATGACATCGCCCTAACATTTATTTTTAAACCCACTTAAGTACTGTCTAATCAGATAGTAAGGGAATTTGTTGAACATCTGATTACATTACCAGTTGAAACTAACCAGATCAATGAAAGGGAGACAAACATAAATACCATAGTACATCCCCTACAAGTAAACAATTTCTAGAATGGCTATCACATAATCGTCCAGCCGTTGCACGGATGCTTCTTTCGCAATTGTTTATTCGATTTTGAACTCGCTTAATTGCCCACCGATAAGATTCGAACCTGAACCGATTCGAACCGATCCGCTGCGAGGACCATGTAACGCTCTTTCTTATCGATGTGATTCGGTCGAGAGTCAGCAGCTTGATTTTTCCTGCGATTGTCAGTGCAAAATCGAGCAAATGCGTTTCTATTTTTGCATTTCATGTGCCTCTGGAATGGCCATCTAGCCGATTGGTCATCTAGACATTCATATACCCACATATATTCTAATTTAGAACCGAGTGCGGGGACATATTCGGAATGAAACTCACGTATCTGAGGCGCTGACATTGTTCGAACTGTAAACCGCATTCTGAAGGTCGTATGCAAAGCGATTTTCCCCACTCATTTCTACCGATTTTTCGTTGAAAGTAAACGTAACTTGTATTTGGTTTGATTTGTATTTTTTTTTTTTTAAATTAGTCTACATATAGATACACTTAGAACTTAGGTATAGTACAATATATATATTCGATATATAGCCAATTGGTGTATTTTTCAGGGGAGATTTTGTTGTTTTCGGGGGTTTTAGTTTTAACTACAACTAACTACGATTCATGTCATTTTTTTTACACCGATAAATTCACGCAACATTTATCAAAATGTCAACAAATTAGTGCTAAAAATCATAATTTACACAATAAAACTATGCACTTAATAATTATAAATAATAATAACAATTATGCGTGTAGAAAGGAAATTCTTTTGCTAAGCATTACAAGTTAGCTAGGACTAACAATATCAGAGCGCCTGGATGGGGGTCCTTATAGCATTAATATGTTTCTGTTTAGGAACACCCACTGCGTTTTACACACGTTTCTTAAGCACTAAAGGCACTAGTCTAGTATTTGGTTTGATCGCATATTCAGATCCATTACAACACGCCGTTTACATGTTGAAGGACAATGGCTTGATGTTGGCCACCGAGGACATGCGGCGCACACGGCCCATCATTTTCCGCTCGATGTCCTCCAGCGTCTTGCCCTGCGTTTCGGGCACATAGAATATCACAAAGAACAGGCCAACGAAGCAGATGGCCCCGAATAGCCAGAAGGCTCCATGGGCGCCCATAGCAACTGCACATAAAAATATAAAAAATAAATTATTAATAAAAGCACTTTTTTTAGTTAGACAAAAGCTGAACTCACCAGTGAGGTCCTGGAAGGTCTTGGTCACCACAAACGTGCAGGACCAGTTGAAGGCCGTGGCCACCGAGGCAGCCGAGCCGCGAATCTTGGCCGGCAGAATCTCGCCCATCATCAACCAAGGGATGGGTCCGAAACCCAAAGAGAAACCCAGGATATAGATGACAAAACAGCTCAGCGGCAGCCAGCCCAAGTGGCTCACATCTGGACCATGGGCCTTGCAGTAAAAGAAGCCGCCCAAAACGAACAGGGTCAAGATCATGGCAATGTTGGACACATACAGAAGAATCTAAAAAACAAAGGACATACGTTAGAACTGGCTTATACTTGCAAGGATTAGCCAAAACCCACCTTTCTGCCCGCCCGATCAATCAGAACGATGCCTATGAACGTAGCCAAAAAGTTGACCACACCAACAATGATCGTACAGACATTGCCATCGATGGTGGAACCAGCATCCTTGAAGATCTGCACCGTGTAGAAGATCACCGCATTGATACCACTCAACTGCTGGAAGAACATCAGACCCAACGAGATGGACAGAGGCTTCAAATTGTTGCGTTTCAGCAACTCCAACATGGTGTTCTGGGTGGCCTGACGATCGGCATCGGCCTGGGATCGCATCAGACCCTTCAGCTCGGGCTCCACATCTGCCTCCTTGCCACGCAGCCAGGTCAAAGCCTTGCGGGCACGCTCCTCCCGACCGCGGCTCACAAACCAGCGTGGCGTTTCGGGGATCAGGAACATCAGTATCAGGAAGGGAACGGGAAGAGCTGCTCCCAAGAAGGCCAGCATGGACCAGTTCATAAAGGTGCCCGCCACGAAGCAGAGTAGGATTCCAATGTTACCAAAGGCCGTGGGCAGCAGACCAAGTGTGCCTCGCACCTCTGGCTGCACAGTTTCACCCAGATATACGGGCAGGGATAACGAGGCAATGCCCACGCAGAAACCAGCCAGGAATCGACCACACAGCACCATGGCCACATTTACCGCACATGCAATGAGCAGCGAGGAGACGATGAAGGGCACCGCGGTGGCCAAGATCGTGTTGCGCCTGCCCAGATATTCAATCAGGGGTCCGCCGGCGATGCCACCAGCCAATCCAGCCAGGGGCATAATGCCACCAACCCAGGAACCCTGTAAATAGATAGAAATTCCGAGTGATGAGATGGGATACAGTGGAAATAGTAGATTTTACTTGATTACCTAAGCTAAATTTGGTTTTGATAAATATCTTATTGAATTTAGATAGGGTAGTTTAGTGTTTTATAGCTTGAACTGAGGTCTTTAGCAACATTTTAATTTTATGGCAATATTTGCAGCTAATGAAATTCTATGTGCAGTATAACTACACCTTCGTTTAAAGTTTTGTATGACAATTTTTAACATTGGTTAGATTGCCATAACGACATTTACTTTACATTTAGGGCATATACACCTTTTTAAAATTATTTAGAACCCCTTTTTTATATTTTCTTAAGCATGCCAATCAAGAGAATTTATGGAATTTAAAGAGTTACATTTAAAAAGAAAGGGCTTTTACTATATGTTCAGCTTGCAATATTTTTGAACAGTTTAATCTGTAGACACAAATTTTGACTTCGATTAGATTGAAGTAGAGTTTACAATATTTTTGAACAGTTTAAGGTCCTTGGACACAAATTTTGACTTCGTTTAGATTGCCGTACAGACATTTTCTTTTAAAATTATTAGGGACCCTTTTTATATTTTCTTTAGCATTCCAATCAACAGAATTTAAGGAATTTTAAGATTTACATTTAAAAACAAAGTGTTTTTACTATATACTGGACATTACAGTATTTTGAAACAGTTTTGGGGCTTTTGCTTCGAATTTTCTAAGCACCTTTAAACAAAGAGCTCAATCGATTCCTACGAAATTGGTTCTTATCATCGTACTTACAGCAGCTTGGGTGACCTCAAAAGAGGTGATATTCCTATCGGTCATCGACACAAGAGCAGGGGAAGTGTAGGCACTGCAAAATCCGACCACTAGGGAGCCCAACGAAACGCTCAAGGCGGCCAGGACCTGAAAATATTAAGGATAATGATAGAGTTTAGTAAGAGCTAGTTTTTTCTGGGGTAAAATTGAATGGTGTTTTTTGATGTGATGATGTAAAGCAGGCACCTGGGAGAAGGTACAAATCGCCTTGGGCTCCTCCACGGGCACGGAGAAGGACACATGGGTGTCCGCTCGCATTAGGATCTTCATCGCGCAGCTGTAAATCTAACTGAATCTCGAACTGAAACCGTTTTTGGCTGGCAACAAGGTTGCGGATATATAGCGGATGTAGCCTTAGGTGGCTGCCTTTCACTTTGCTCCTTGGATTGGAATGCTTTCGGCGCGTACGCTCGTCAAAACTCAACTGAAACTTGTCATTTTGCCCGAGTGCAGCGGCAGTTGCATTTTCGCTAGTTTTCAATTTTCGAGAACAGTTTTTGCCGTGATTCGATGAGGCTCAGGCACGTACACGAAGCCACCGAGTGCTGATCGCTGATCGCTGATCGATATCGCTAATGTGAGCGGGATTCTGTTCCCAAGCGTTTGATCAAGTCCAGGCTTATCAGTTTGTTTTTCCTGCGACAAAAGACAAAGGCCCTATGCCGGATTTTGAAAAGCGGTTTGAGGCTGTTTCATCGAACGTTGCCAGCTCGAATGCAAAATGTAACTGCAACTGGAAAAACATCGACAAACAGAAGTTGCAGGTTCAACTGTCAGAGTTTACCTCTCAACGCACACAATCTATACGGATCCGATTCGATCCATCCATCAGACAGCTAGCGATATTTTTAGTCCGGCCATAACTAAATGCGTTAATTTCAATTAAGGCAAAAGCGACTCAGACTCAAATGCGGCGGAGGCGGCGGCGGCGGCATCGTGCGAAAATAGCTCAAATGGCCCACACGCTCGTAGCTCAATCTGGAGGCCCCTTAAATTGCTCAACGAGTGCTTTATGGTCGCATTAGTGCCATTCATAATCTCGGGACCCGGGAGGCGCCAACGAGCTTAACGAGCGGACAATACATGTCCTCCATCGCTATACTGACTTGGAGGATACACTTGGGTAAATTTTAAACTAATGTTCTTGAAAGGATAGGACCGGGTTCGAACCCTCAGATGATTTAAATATTTTTAGGAAATATTTTGTGTAGTGTTTCTTTAAATTTCTGATATTTTTTATTCCTCATATTATCACATTTCGTTGACATTTTTTTTCAATAATTAAAGGAAATTAAAAAAAAAAAGGTTTAATTTTTTTAAAATTTTTTTAAATATGAAAAAATTTTTCTTGGGTTCTTTTGAAAGTTTATAGTAATTAAATGTTAAATTTAACTCTTCTCTTAATAACTTTTTTTTTTAATATTCAGATGAAGATGAAAAGGATTGATATATTTTTTCAAGTGCATGTTGCATGTGACCCACCTGTGTCCATATGAAGATGGGATTCGTGGTGGGACGGTAGACCTCCAGCTTGGGCTTTCCATCCTCGGTTATCTGGCGCACGAAGGGCACCGCATGACGGATGTTCTCGCCACGTTTGTTGCCCATCTCGTCCATCTCGTACAGTCGGCGGCTGCGGGTGGAGAAGGTTGCAAAATTGCGTGTCAGTGTTGGATTGGAAGGTTGCCCACTGCTAACAGTCATTTATTGTCCGGCTCATTGCGTAGGCGCGTGTACGGCGGATTAGCCCGAGCCGGAGATACTATAAGATCGCTCAAAATAGTCAAAGCAGCGTCAAGGGGATCCCAATTTGTATGCCACTTGGATTAAATTAATCAACGAAAGTGCGCAAATAGCTTGAAAGCAATCTTGGGCATGCGAAGAGCTAACTATTCAATTATATGGATTGTGCACTATTTACTATGATTTTATTTGGAGTAGCTCATTTTGAACTATATTTTCTACGCTATCACGTGGGACCTTGTTAGATTTTCAATTATTATTCAAGTTAAAGTTTGGCTTACTATTGTTTAAGTCTCATCTTTGTGTGATGGTTTCAAAAGTATTTAAAGCAAATCGCTTAGACGATCTTTCTTGGAATTTAATGACTTAATTTAACAGAACTTATCAGTTCCTGGAAATATTTGATTAATGACAGCCTTCTGTATCTCATGTGATACTGCAAATCGTTAACTGATAAGTTGTTATCCAGGTTGATATCAATCAAGAACTATACTTTCTACTAAACCCTTTCGTTGCCATGAGCCCAAATAGATTGCATTGCATTAATGTTAATTTCATTTAATTTTAGCTATATAACAAAGTCCAGCAAAAAACGAAAGAACGTTGAAGATAACCCCTGGCCTTAACCTCTCGGGGGTTTCCAACTCAATGCTATCGATCTACTTTGAGCGCGATTTTTGGGTTCTTGGTTCTTTCCTATAGACGACACTCACCTCTTGCGGGAATCTGTGCTGATGGAACGCTGCTGCTGGAAGTGCTGTCGCGAAGTGAGGAAGTCCTCGTCGCTCTCGCTTTCCAGATCCTTGAGATCGATGATCACCGGCTTGGTGATGTCCTTGGGCCGATGGATCAGGCGTTTGTGCTCGGCGTCCTCGCCCTCCTCGTCACTGTCGGTACTCGAGCCCTGGAGAACTTTGTCGAGTTTGAAGGTAACACGTGGATCCAAACTTTGGTGCTTGCGCCCTTGGAACTCCCTTCGTGTTTTGTGGAACTCCTCTTCGGAGGACGATTCCTTTAGTAAATCCTGGAGGAAACGTGTGCCCTTGACATCTAAAGAGACGTGCTTCTTAGCCTGAAACTGACGACGATTGTCGTTGGCCAAAATGTGCTTGAGGTCCTTTAAGATGCCCTTGTGATCAACACTGGTGGCCTTCTGTTGCTGGAAACCAGATCTTTTCTCCTCGAAACTATCCTCGTCACTGCTCTCAGCGGGTTTGGTATTGCTGTTGGTATTATTGTTGGTATTGCTGTTTCCCGTCTCCCTTCGCTCGAAGGACACTCGTGATCCCTTCAGACTCTGCTTGCTGCGCTGCAGATCGTCGCCCTGGGCACCTCTCTGCTGACGATCGCGATGCTCACGGATCTCCAAGGATGTGGGCGGTGGTGGCAAGGCGGTTAACTCCAAACTACCACTGGCTCGCAGCGGAGTCCTCTGTTGTTGCTGTTGTGTGGGTGGTTCGTTGATGTCGTCGTCCTCCAATAATGGTCGAAACGATAGTGGTGGCTCGTCCTCCAGCAAACGCTGTGTCCTCACTGTCTGTGGATGCCTTTGGGGTGATACTTGGGGAAACAGGAACGGATCCTCGGGGAGAATTGTGTCCAAACTGGTGGCTGTATTCGAAGTGGATAGATTGCTCTCCACGCGATGATAGCCCAGTTCGTCCTGTTAATCAAATCGTTTCGAACCGACAGACAGTCGCGAATTAATTAAATCGAATCATAAGCATGGCATAAATATGAAGCCTACCCATCCATCCCATCAAGAAACCGCTTGGAACCGCCCGAAATCATTGCGATTAAGTCGCGAGATCTGTTCTTGAACGAACACCAATCTCAAAAGGTTGCAAGAGGTCCAGGCATTATCGCACATGTGCGCACTTGGTGTTGCTCTTTAAAATCTTGTTTTTGGCTCTCATACAAATATTTTTACTAGCGAATTTAATGGCTTAACACATCCTAGAGTCATTTACAACATTCCGACATTTACGACAAATTCGGTGGCAATGCAATATTTTATATGTTCACTAATTTGTTGCTATAATGAATGGTTATTTATCATTTGTCTGACATAAAAAATAATTTTGATAGGTTTTTAATGAATTATCTCTGGATAATTAATTAGCTAAGGGCTCCCGTTTAAATACTATTTTGTGATTTATTTTATATCAGCTATATATATTGCCTAAAACTTTTTAAATGACTTTTGGAGGCCTGACAAGTATAGATATACTATGCGAAGCCTTAATAATCACAGATTATAAAAGACATATATAATCTTTTGGCTATCGATTGATGGTTCTTAGGGTTCCAGGCTTTTTGACTACCTCAATAATATTATTTTAGAGATACTTACACCTACTCGGGTTAGTTTTTCCTTGAGCTTGCCCATGGCGCTGCTCAGCGGTTGATGACCGCCGCCTCCGCCGCCGCCGGCTCCTCTGTTGTCGCGTCCACTCATCTTATCAGCTCAATAGCTTTATAGGTGAACTTGAACTAGTGGGTTTTCCTTGGGTTGTTTGTTTTTGTCACAGATTTTCACTTGTTTTGGTGTCTTCCACTTGCCCAAGTAAACAATGTGTTCTTCTCTTGATTAATTGCAATTCTTTTGTCTTTGCTGAAAGTAAAGAAAGGAAAAGTTATAGAACGCTTGAAATTATATAATACAAGTCACAGACTTATAGCTTCTATAATAACCATAGTTTTCCACTTCTTAACAAAGTGTACTTATCAGTAATTCTAATTTGTCTGATGTCTGGCCTAATTGTATTGCTGTTATATTATAGTTTGATAAAAATTAAACAATCTATACCTATACATACTTATAATGTATTAATTGAAATGGTCTGGTGTAAAAATAGTTGGGCACTTGTAAAGATAAGTGATAACTGCACTATATCAGCAGCAGTAGCCTGTCGACTTAAAATCGTCTGATGTCTGGTTCTGCTATCGAAAAAATTTATGGTTTGGGTTTTAGATAACGCTCGAGCCCCCTTAGCACCCAACACACCCACTTTCTAATGCCGGTTGTCCTTGATTTCCACGCGTGACCAACTTTGTAGCCACTGTGAAAGCGGTGTTTTCCTCAACGAATAGTTGTTTTTATTTACTTTTCGCAAAAATGTTGTGTATTCTGCTGTTTCTTTTCCCGGCAAAGTGAAATTTATTTATGATCTTTTATATTTGGCATGCGGCAGTTGGGTAAAAAATATAAAAATAGGTATATTTCAAAAATTTTCCACCCACTTTCCTTTGTACATATATTAGCTGATTAATGACCGCATCGCGGAAAAATTGGTAATATTTTCATTTGTTTGGTTTTGTCAAAAATTCGTTTTACTCATTTGTATTTATTTTGAGTTTTCACTTTGCGTCATGTGATGCCTGGTAAAATGTGTGGGCGCCATGACGTCGACGTTTTTTTTCGGCTTTTCTTTTTTGGCCACTGCTTTCTCACCCATTTCCCCTGCTTTTTGCTTTCATTCTATTACTGAGAAAGTGGGTGTCATTTTTTTTGCGATTCAATTCTTTATTTGGCATTCCCCTGCAAATATCAGCAGGCGTGACATAACGATAGGTCTAACTTATGTGTGAGGGGGTATGGCCTCCCACCCGAAAGTTTAATTGCAGACACAGGGAAAATTCGTTATTCAATTTGTAAAACATTTTTATCATTTTAGTTTTAAACAAAAAATATAAAACTCAATATTATAACAAGAAAACAAATTTTAAATTGCTGGAATAATGCTACACAGAGAAAACTATCTAAGAACATTGTTCTTGAATTGAGAACATTCGTTCTTAAAAACCGTGTAAGTACATTTTGGTAACAATATATGAACGAAATGGTGAGAAGAGAAAAGTTAAATTGAGTTTATTTAACAACTTTTTGATAAGTATACACTAAGGACTGAACTAATAGTTTATTTGTACATACAATGTACTTAAATACCGCAAATTCAACTTGATTAAGCAAAATAAAAACATTTTCAACTTAAAAATGTCGTTCTATTTTTAAGAACATTTTCAACTCAGATGAGAAAGTAAGAATTTTCTCTGTGTACTTATACATTTAAATGTAGAATTTATAAAAAAAAGTATATTTTTTTAAATGTTTTATCACTTTAATGTTATATTTTGGTTTTTCCAAAGTATACTATGCAAAAAATAAACCAAAAAGATGATTAATTTGTTATGAAATGTTGACATTTTCAGTGTGTGGGTTTTCCTCTAAAAATAGTTAATTTAAATATTTTTCCGCGTGACGCCTTTTTAGTTAGCCATTAATTGGTTAATGAACGTGTTGCGCTTTTCGCCAGCCTGAAACGCAATTGCAGCGCCAGTGTTTATATGCAAATTCTTTTGCGAAAGGCGCTAAAAGTTGCCATTGACCTTGAAGGCCGCCTTACAGTGTGTGTGTGTGTGTGTGTGGGCGGCTGGGCAAATGACACATATTTTTAGGGGCCTGAGAGGCGAAGAGATCGCAGCACGTTTCTCTGGGGCTCTCTTAAGCTCTGGTTAATTCAAAACCGCTCTTTAACCAGCTGTGGCGTTTTCTCTTAACAAAAACCAACTCACGTGCCGTATGAACCCCGCTCTTACACGGCACACGCACACACACACTCAAACCCAAAACCCACACAGGTGAGCAGCCTACGTCAACAGTGCAACGTTGCGATTTTGTATCTTGTATTCGTATTCGTATTCGTATATTCGTCATGATCTTGTGGGCATTTTATTTTTAAAAAACGTTTTTCATGCTGACAGCAGATTAACAAAACCGTAATCGAAACTAAAATTAACAAAAGGCAGCCGCCGCCAGACGAGTATTATAAGTAAATTCGCTTCAATTAGCGAAGCGCAAAACGAAACGCCCACACTCGAATTTGGAAATTGAAATATATTTTTGTATTTATTTCGACTTTGTTTTCACTTTTTGCGCGCCACTCACTCAAAAATTCACTACTACACACCATTCGAATATTTTTGTAAGAGATAAAAACCAAGTGTTCTTGTCTAAATTTACGAATTTTCACGGTCGCCACTCTCCCAAAAAAGTTTCTCGACTTTTCTTTATTTATTTCCTCGAAAATTGCATTTTACCCTTGGCAAATAGTTTTTTTTTTTGTCATCTCTTTTTCGTTTGTTTCTTGCTTTTACAACATTTTTTCGCACATTACGTAAAATAGTTTGCAGTCCGCAGCGGTTTCAATAAAATTTGGGTTCATAAATATTTCTTAGGTTTGACGTAGTATGCAAAAATGCGCATAAATTGGCAAGTTTTGCGTTGTGTTTTTTTCGTTTTTTTATAGGCCCAGACAGCCCAGAGACTGTGTTCTTTTTTTTATTTTTTATTTACTTAAGTATTTTTTTTAATATTTCTTGAGAAACGCGATAAGGTGGCGGCCGGAACTGTTCGGAAACTAAACTATAAATAACCAACTGGAATATAACACTGTGTTTGGTTTTGTGTCTTTTGCCTTTATCGCTTTTAGTGTTGAGATATAATTTTGCGGCGATGTTTGTGGTCTTTTTTTTTACCTTTGGAACAAACTACTAAATGTGATATCCACTATTGTGGCACTGAAGTTCGAGATTCGAATGCGCAACGTTTATATAGCGCACACCGATTTCGTAGCGGAAGAAGAAGAGTTATTCGCTCGAGCTTTTTGTTGTTCCCCAACGGTAAAACAGGCACTCTCTTCGCCCGCTCTCGCGCTCATCGCTTGCTTGTATGGGTGAGTCGGTTGGGATGGGGAGAGAGTTGGTTTTTTCGGTTTTCTGGGGGAGAGAGAACGAAGGTCGAAAAGAAGGCATGAATGAATGGGGTGCTTGTGTGTGTGGGTCGCCTCCTAGCCATAGGTGTCTCCGTCGTTGCTGTTGTTGTTGCTCCTGCCACTTGGAGGCTGCGAGAGAGCATGACGCGTGTTCTTGAAGAGAAGTCGCGACTCGCGACCCAGTGGCACCATGCAAAACCCATTTTAATACACTTCTTTCAAAAGGGGTTTCATGGCTTTGTAATCGGATACCTTTGTTTTACCAATAACCATCCACATCCCAAATTTCATATCGATCAGACACAATTTAAAGTCACAAGATTCATTGATCATCCAAAGAATTATTCACAGTCTGACACCAGGAGGTATGCAATAAAATATACCAAAATATAGGACTAATACATCAATTTAAATTTAAAGCTTATTCAATTCCGATTAAAAATTACTCTTACTGAAGTCAACATATGAAACCCAAATTTCCTATTACTCACAAAAAAGTGACATCGTAAAAATTTTTTTTTTTTTTCATTGAAAAACGTTAAAATTTGGTATGTAAACTCAGCTTTTAAAATTACGAACTTTTGTTTGTCACCAAATAAACAAATACTAAAAATGTTCGATATGTATTTATAAATTTTGAATCAAAAATGGGTTTTACTCGAGTCAACATTTGAAAATCCAATTTCCTATTTGTCACAAAAAATTCCAAGAGAAATTGACAAACAAATTTTTTTTAATGTTGACTAAAAATTAATTTATGCTTTAGTCAACATGCTATTTGTCAAAAAAAAAATATAAAAAAATTGTTTAATACCTTTTTTTAAAGGCTGATTCAAAATAACTTTTACAAAGTCAATAATTAAAAACCCGATTTCCTATTTGTCATGAAAATACGAAGAAATCGTCAACCACTTTTTTTTTAAATTTAAATTAATAAGTAACTCTCGCTTGGGTTATTTTAAAATTCAAACCACTATTAACCATACTTTCTATGTACTTAAACTTATATCAAACCACCTAATATAACCATACCATAAGGAATATGGTATATATAGGAATAATATAGGAATGTTTTGATAATCTATAATTCTACTGAAAAAACATAAATAGGCATAAGCATATATATGATTTCCGCCCAACTGCAAAATATTCTTTTAGAATAATTTCGCAGTCGGTGTGTCCTTTTAGTTTATATTTTTATTGATTTGTTTTGGCCGCTACGTGGTTACAGTTATGGTTATGTTATGCTCAATGACCAATTGCTGCTGGTTGGATTGGATGCTGAGAGTTCCTCGGCGACTCTGTGTGAGTGCCTGCCAATTGATTTTTATTTACACACATATTTTCAATTGATTGTTATTAAATTGACTTTGAGGCGCGTGCAAATTTCTGGAAGCCTTGGGAAACATTTTGCGTGCGACTCCTTGTGTCCGCCAGTCGATGTCAATATCAATTCAATTCGATACTTTAGTTTTTTGGGGGCCTGACGCAAGTGCAACCAAAACAAACGATGATGGATGATGCGATGATATGGGGGGAAATAGGCATTAGGCAAATAATTAAAAGCGGGACAAGTGCCTCGAGTTTCTGCGGCACTCTCGATTATTTATTATGGTTTTATGGGTTTATTTATTTCGATTTCTGTTTAAAATACCAAACGGGCCCCAAAAAAAAAAGATGCGGGGGGCTCGTCTCTCTATTTCATAACGTGGCATAAACATTACGCGCAATGAGACGACACAATTTCCAAGTACCAGGCCCACCAGCCGGTTTCGTTTTATTTGCAGATTCAGATACGACTAAGCATCAAAAGATATGGATACTGGGCATTGCTCGAAAAACTGGATGGTCATATGGGGTCACCCTGAATAAAAGAATTAACTAGAAATAATTCTCATCAAAATAATACATAAGGCTATCAACAAATTAGTCAAAGTTTAAGTGAGTTCCTTAAGATTAACTTGAATTTTATTTGATACCACACTCGAGAATTTTAAAGTGGTTTGGGGTAATCCCAAATGAGGTTTTGATTGTGACATTATCAATAATAAAACACAACTTTATATTTTTGCTCTAAATAATAAAAAAAAGTATATACTATATTTATTATTTGTAACAATTTTACGAGTTAAAACTTAACTTCTTTTCCAAATTCTTATGCAATCCGGTTTTTACCTCTTAACAATATCACCTTACCCATTATTAGTCACGAATTAGATTATAGCTTAAATCGAAAGCATGAATAAGCATTAACCGATAACATTTATATTACCTTAGAATTAGATTATAGCCTTAATCGAAGGCATTACCAAGCATTAACCTATAATAGCTCTATTAGATTTGGGTTCTATTGCCCTCACATATTATTAAAAACTTTTTAACGAGCCTCTGCTGATCTGCCACAGTCGATAACATATACATATTACTATCTGGTTTAAGGTTTCTTTACTCTTAAACGAGCCCCTGTTTTGGAATTGGGACCCCCTACTGATTTGCGCCTCTGATCGAATATTTTGAACAATTAACGGAAAGTTTTTAATCACGATTCTTCGTAGCACGCTTAAGATATTTCGGCATTTCCATTCCGCCACAGCCGACCCTCATTTGCCCTCGACTCAAAGTTACGATCGGTTCGTATCGGACTGTATCTGGTGCTTTTTTTATTTTTGCATGACTCAAGGCTTAGTTGGAATCGAGGAAAAGTAATACACACATACCAAACAATAGTTAAGCTCTTAAATGTAGATGAATGTTTTCGTTTTTTCGATCTGTGGGAAGGTCAAAAAAGCGGCAAGCAAAAAATGTTTGAATACAAAACTTGATTGACAGGAATCGCGAGAGGGAGCGAAAAAGATCTTTGGAGAGGGAAAGAAAGAGAGAAGAGCTGGCGAAATAGGAACTTAAAGTGGTGAAAAAAAAAACGAAAGTGCAATGAACTGTGAAATATTTGCAAATGAAGTACTAAAGGTTTAAATTCGGAACAGCACTGAGGGAGAAGTAAAATCAATTTATAGGCAAAAAAAAACTGTGTCAAAAACGTAATAATATCAAACTAATACCCAATTAAATGGTATTTATTTTATACAAATTGATTTTTTCTAAGTGGTATTATCTGTGGGACACCCACTTATTTAGATGATTCATTATAGCATAATGAGGTGGGTGTTCGCTTTGACTGGCTTTTCGCATTCAAGGCTTTTAACTTATCTCTTGACAGATAGGCCTATCAGTTCTGTTTCCCAGCACCTGACGTAATTGACACGGAGCTTTCTCGTAATTACCGAACTGTACCCGCAAATCACAGACCCACTTCCTATTTTGTCTATTTTTAGTAGCTCCACCAGTCTACAAAATCAGCAAAAACCACAACAGAAATGCCGAAACAAGCGTTGAAAATGCCAAAAGAGACGAGCCCCCCAGCTGCACGTACTCACTGGGGAGAGAGAGAGTGAGAGGGGTATATCTGTAAAGAAAGAGAGGGGGCTATACAGTGTGGGAAAAGGAGGGGTAGAGACGTGGTGGAGTACCTGGCAACAGCAGAAAAAGAAAAGAGAGCGAGAAACCCTAAGAGAGTGCATCAACCTATGAAATTTGTGAGGTGGCGCAGGCGCGCAAATCAAAAGCTGATGCAATTGCGCATTTATTGCATCAGACTCTACCAACGAGGGTCCACTGTAAAAATAAATATAACACAAATTCTTGTACGTGAGCGGAAATTTTCGATGCGCTAATTAAAGAACTTCGACAAAGTCAAATTGAAACAAATGGCAAAAATCATTAAAAGCTTATTTATCTAATTGGTTTTTGGAGTCGAGTCACAGCAGTTTTAGCGAATAAGAGAGAGAGAGTGGTAAATAAAAGAGAGAGCCCTCAATACACACGTGATCACATTTTGCTCTTATCTTTTTTTTTTGGCAGCCAAAATTAGCGCTAAGATATCAAAATATGTAAAGCAAAAAGAGACCAATAAGTTAAGTTAAGCATGTGATGCCCGCCCCCTTGCTCTTTACCTTATTTTCTTCATCACGCGCCCAGCTAAATCAAAAGCATTTTGTTTTTATACACACAGAAAGAAAAACTTTGGTTAATACTATTGATATACTATACTATAATGATCAATTTGAAGATTTTAGTATTTTAGTATTTAGTATTTAGTATATCTTTTACTATAAAATACAATAAAACACGTATTTTTGCATACTTGATTAAATAACTGTTTTGATTTTAATTAACCCATTCTGCTAATGTTTAAAAAACTCAAAATTAAATATAATATAAGTTAGCAGTTCGTATCGAACCCGGCACTTTGTTAGTAAGGTACTGCGCGTTCTATCGTTTTTAGCGAAAAATGTATTTTATTTTGTAGATTTTGTTTACACTTGATATGAAATATATTAATATATATTAAATATCTATTATACATAGGTGCTCTTTCCAATTTTATATCGACCTAATTTTTCTGTGTATATATCAACTACATATGTATGTATGTTGAATATTCAACTGCGAGTGTGTGCGTGGTGACGTTGCTGCTTTTGGCAAACCAGACGAGCCTCCAACTTATACGAAGAGAGCCCCCAACACACACACCCATACAATCGAAATTAAGCTCCACATGGTGACTTGCTCTACTTCTTGATTCTCCAATCAGACTTTGCCTGTTGGCACTTCCCCATTTAATTTGCTGATTAGATCCGATTATGACGAGCATTTCGGACTGCAAAAAAATTTTATAATTCCCCCGGGCGTACTTTAAACTTAGTCCAAGTCATTGATGCACCTATATACCATCGATCCGTCGATCGATCGCTGCCCCCTAGCCAAAAAGCTCTCGCGCTCTCCCAAAA